TATATACGATTGAAAGACCCTTATCAGTCTATTTATAGAAGCAATCTGATGTTGATGGTAGGATTGGTTGGCCTTTACGTTGCACTGGCCAACATTTTTTTGTAATTTTTGTTATTTTTTTATGCACTTTATCAGCTATTTTACTTATACTGCAGTAAAACATGCAATGGCATCAATATTTGTGATGCCTTTGAATATTTGAATATGTGTCAACTCTACAGCAGACATTCTCCCTCGGATTACCATCGGGACCGGGTTATACAAAGTCTTACACCACAAATTACATATATCAACACGTCAGATATTGGTTAAAATATTTACCCATTGCTACTTCGTTTGGAGTTTAAGAATTAAAGCTTATAATGGCAAAAAATAAGAGTAACAGTAAATGAAAGCGAAAAATCATGACAAACAAAACAAAAAACATTGAATACCCATGTGTCGACTGAGGTTCTTAAAATGAGCTTGTGCTAAACCGATAACAAGTAAGATGGAGAATTAATTCATAAATATAATAATAAGGACAAAATGTGACAAAACAATTGAACGTGTTTTTATAAATGTCGATATGTGAATTTTAAGATACGAACCAAATAATAGACAACAGACAGGACTTAAAATATTCAACAATCCAAAATAATGGAGATATAATCCACAATTCATCCTGTCCAATCGAGTATGAATATACAAAATGATATAACTTTATCTAGTCGATGATTTTTGCAAAAAGTTGACCAAATCAGACAGATACTAGAGTTATTTATATCCCTTATCAAACAATGTTATTTAAATACATTTTTCCGCGTTTCGCAGTAGAGCAGAAAAATATTGTCTAAAATCACAATCACATTTCTTGGTACAAATGCTGTACGATTCTGTATATAAAAGGAGGGAAAAGATACCAAGGGGTCATTCATACTAAAAATTTACAAAATCACAAAAAATTGAATATTTAACTGAGTTTTAAAAAGTTGAAAAATGCCCATTAAGAACTAAAATTACTCGAGGTAACCTATGGCTACCTTAAGATACCTATGGTTGAAAACTGTCAGACATGAATCTGAACTTAACCTAAAAACCCAGAGTTCATGATCAACACTATTATTTCATGTACTGTTAAAAAGTTAATCAATCCTACCACACTTAAGAGTAAGGGCAACAGTATGGACAATTAGTATAAACATGGGAGTAAAATAACATTCAATATAATACATCTATGGTATAAAGATCAGTTAGTTTTTAAAGAAATTAGAGTTTTAAAATGCACTGAACATACTGACTTAAAGTAATATATACTTTTAGCATTATACATTTAACCAAATATTCCTGTTTGGGCACATGCGACTAAATGTTGATTTTGTCACTCGAAGTAAACGTCAGAGTATAATTGATTTTTGAGGCGCTTTATTTAAGGAATGATATGGGTACAGGCTTTTTGGAAAATTAAATTGTACATGCAAGGAAAACTGTCACATTGTGATAACTTATTGTTGCACCTTTCGAGAACGACATTCGCTCCCCTTAAAAGAAACGGATTGAAAAGTATATCATACTAAATTATTCGCGGGAGAGGAAAAGTTGAAAAAATGGGCTATACTGGAACTTGAATTATAATTGAGAAACGGACTCGAGATGAGAGGGAATGGGATAAGGGTGTGATACATTGATTGATTTATTTACTGTTGCTTGCTTAACGTTCAGTGGCAAATGTTGCCTATTCAGGACGGAAAAAAAAACCCAAGCAAATAATACAATGTATAGGTTCTGCAAGATTGGTCAATTGGGATAAGGGTAGGAAATTTGGACTACCACTGGCTCGTTGATAGGTTCAGAAATTCAATCTAGCAAACAGTCATCCACGGACTGTTGAAAAAGATTACACCACCAAAAAAACCGGAGACAATCTCATGTGCTCTGGAAGGGTAAGCAAATCCTGCTTCAGATGTGGTACCCATTTTGTAGCCCATAGTGAGTACAATTCGGAGTTTAGTCTCGTTTGGTGATGTCGCAATCGAGGAAAAGAGGACATATGACTGTAACGACAATTGGAACATTTCCGTGGTCATCTGTGACACAATATTAGCATTTCGATCTTTTCTACATAAAGTGACACTTTCCTTCAATAGTAAACGATGCTTTACAATTGTCATTTGTCTTGTGTACTAATTTAAAATAGTTTAAAACAATCCATTTATCAATTAATTCAATATTTGTATAGGTATTTTTTGTCTTCGTTTTTTTTTTTTATTAAAAAGAGTTTGGGAACTCTGGATTCATAAGGTGGCCAATGATCAAATGAATCGCTCTTAATTTTAAACCATAGGTAGTCATAGGTATATAGAATATCCAAACGTGTCCCAAATATGCTTCATAGATATCTGCGATCAATTCTTAGTGTAAAACCTTTGATTCTCATTGTGTAACTTTACGTTCTTAGTGTGTATTTTTTTCATTTCTCCGCGTACAATTTTAATTCTCAATGTGTATTCTTAAACTTTTTTTAAATCTAAGTGTGTAATTTGTACTTCTCAGTGTCTTTTTTTAAGTGTTTTAATTTCAGTGTATGTTGTTTTTTAATTTTTAGTGTGTGATAATTGCTTGCCATTTAAAAAGACAACACCATGACAAAAAAGACAAACAGTCCACAAGTCAAAACACAGAAAAATAAATATTGAGCAACACGAACCACATCATGAACCGGGAATTAACACATGTGCTCCGTAAGAGAAAGTAGTCGCTGTATCACTAAAGACAACCGCCGTGTTATTCCTTTTCAAATACTGGACGATTCTTATCAAATGCATCATACGATAGTAGTTTGACGTCTAACCATAAGGTCTCATTTGTTTTATTATAGTAAATTTTTCACGGGTTTGTGATAAAATTATCTAGACTTTTATTCTAATCATAGACATCGTTCAATTCAAACTTCTTTTCTTTATATATTTTGAAACATATCATATTTATGAGGTTCAGGATCATTACCTAGAAACGGTTCTCGTATTACTTGGCAACACAGCGTCGTGTGAATCTTATTTTACTTATTTGAAAGTTTGTTTAATCTTTCCGGTTCTATCTCCACATTCCTATTGCATTATTATGTAGCTTTTTCACCTAGTTGGAGACTGGAGATTCACTGGATCTCTGCTATTTTTCAGAAATATTTGTCAGTATAGTCAACGTTTCTGTGCCGAAATGAGATATCATTAGAACGTCATTTTTTTGTAAATTTACGATTTATAAAATGTTACACTCATTCGATACATTAAGGGTTTTGTGTCCCAATGCAAAGATGGCATTAGCCAGATTGGCCTGTTTTTTTTAATTGTTTGTTTTCGGTGCTCTTTGACTTCGATATTGATATAGCTTTTAAACTGTTTTTCTGCGAGTGCTACTGACAAATCCTAGTCCTAGAAGTAGGAAATATTACAAAAATCAAAATCTCCAATAGAAACACAATACATAATTTCTATAAAAAAAGCGTTTTTGGTTAGTCAGTGATCTATACCGGAGTTCATAATTTTTTTTTTTAAATTTTAGGTTTTTATTTTGTTATAACAGGACGAAGTCCAGAAATTCGAACTTGATTAGTTTTGTGGACTGTATTTCTGTTCTTCTATTTAAGCTCATATGAATTGTCCTTTAATTGTGAGTTTACCCATTCTTGGCGAAAACTATAATAGATAAAAAAAAGAAGGAAAACTGGAAACAGCAGAAATGAGCACCAATACAAGATCTACAATTAGGTCACTACAATCGAAATCGTAAGTAGACTCTTTATAGGAATAAGCGCCCTTTAATGTCGATTTGTGCCCAAATTTTGCAATCTTGTAATAAAACCTTAAAAATAATATGCACGACAAGATCCACAAATAAGTCAGCATAGCCGAAATTGTCCGCTCACTTCTTATCGGAGTTGTTGCCCTTGAATGACGATGTTTACCCGTTCTTGCGTTTTTGGCAAAATCTAGTAGACAGAGAGAAACAAATGTTTACTATAAGCAGGAAAAAAAAAGATCCACAACACAAGACCAACAAAAAGGAGATTTGAGTAATGAATTATATTCTGATGTTGGAGATTGGTCATTCTTTAAGGTCGAATATAAGCAACACAGGCTCTGAAGAGCCTTTAGTTTCTTTTGGCAAAGCTGCTGTCTGTCTTTTATCGACTTGTATTATTTTAAGTGCCCTCTTGTTTTTTCACCACTTTGTATACTAATAATAATATTTTTACTGCTGCTATATAGCTATTATCATGATGGAAGTTTTCGATTGCCCTAAGTTTCTTCTCTCTTTTATAATTTGCATGATAAAAATGATGATACACATATAATGTTTATTCTATCATCATTATTTATATTATTTTGATTAGTATTACTACTATCATAAAAGGTGGCAGTATAATCTGAAACATGTCCATGTACCTGTTCAAAGTTTAGTGGTTATCGTTGTTTTTTTTAATTTCAGTTGAGCTACGTTAATCAGTCATCAATCAATCAACCATTAATTTTATTTGTTTATTTGGCATCCGATCATCACCAATCTCTTTTGAATTATCATAACTATTTTCTAAGTAAGGGGCGATTTACAGCTAAATATATGTTATTTAAGTTGTCCGTTTTTAACTTTTCTTAATATCTGGAGATGCTTGTGTTGGTTGGTTGTTGTCTTAATATTTTGAGATTCTTGTGTATGTTGGTTGTTGTCTTGATATATTTTGAGATACTTTTGATGGTTGGTTGTTGTCTTAATATTTTTTGAGATACTTATGTTGGTTGGTTGTCTTAATATATTGAGATACTTGTGTTGGTTGGTTGTTGTCTTTATATTTTGAGATACTTGTATTGGTTGATAATGGTCTTATTAATGTGATGGTCATATCAAAATCTTTTATTTGTAATATATACTACAGAAGAAGCATAACAAAGTAACAATCAATATTTGTCGAAAGACAACATATTACAACATGTACAAAATTTCAATTATGCATATTGCCACTGGAAGATAAGCAACCAACAATCAATTATATATATACTTTTGTGTACAGCACGTAGCGGTTTCTACTCTCACTCAATATCAGTATCCGTTTGCATTCTGGATTATATTTCCCGAAAGCTGTAACTGATTTAGGTAGATAATGGAACCTCTTGAATAACATTACATTTATAAAATGAAATTGCGAGAATTCTGCTCTGAATTCTTATTTCGAATTAAATGTAAGCGATTAACTAGTATATATTTGCTCGTGGAATCTTAAATTTGACGTATACTTCGATTCCTTGTGAATTGACAGAATTTTTGTGATTGTCTTTTGAATAGGACGGCTCTTGGCTTGAATTTCCTAGTGTGTACGATCTTTCTATATGAACATTTTGGTATTTTGTCTTGTTTCTGTGAAATTTTGTTTCATCAATGTTAACGAATCTGCAATCAGTTATCTTTTCTGTCATCCCAAAATGCAAACTGGTTCCATCAGTTTGGCTCTTCTTCCTAGGATCTCGACAAGCTCTGAAATTATCGCAATATACTGTAATGTATGTAAAGATATATCAGCGTATAAACAGTGCAAAACTTATGATATCCTTCATTTAAAAAGCTTTATAAGTAAATACTAGTCAAAAAACGAAACGTTACATTAGTTTTTATTAATTTTCGAAAACTTCGTGCATAATTAAAGTATCTTGTGTCTGAACATTTAAATGTTATGTACTTTTATCGATTTTGGTCGTTTGAATATGTTCTGGAATGTTGTAACGTCGATTTCCAAAAATTGACGTTTTTTTTACTGATTTCTATAGGACAAGGGGTGATAAGGGTCGTATTTGGCCCCACCTCCAAATTTAATTCTAATTATTATTTTCTAACCCTATACTTAGGACAGTCTGAAAAAGGTGTAATTTTGAATCTGTATTATGAATTGTTATAATGGTCACAAATTGTGTCGTTTAAATCAGTAATGAAAAAAGGTGATTTTGAAAACGATAGGATTTTACACGTAAGTCAACCCGTCAACGTCAAGATGAGAAGGAACGAGCCATTGGGATGTTGCAAGTAGGATGTCACAAACTGCAGTTGCAAACTAATTTAAATGTTAACAGTTTATTGACTTGTGGTTCGTCTGAGTGACACAGGAACACCATCTGAACGCCCACGTTCCGGAACACCTCGAACGACAATGTTACGTCAGGCTTCATCTAATGCACCTGCGCAATCGCTTCGTGACTGCAGTAGCCAGGCATATACTCTGAAAAGCCAACTATAGAATTTCAGACCAAACTGTCCGAAATCGCCACCGTCAGTGTGGCCTTCGAGCACATCGTCCATTGAAGGGAACCATACTGAAACAACGTAAGAGCTGCCCGGCTTCAATGGTGTCTTTATCTTTATAGCGGTTGATTCTTGAAATATTTGTTCATTGTTATCAAATAACTTTGTTGTTATCAATCTTATAAAATATATGACATGAAATTATTGTAACGTTTCATCCCCTTTTTGAAGGCGTCTTTTGTTTCGACATGTTCGCTTTTAGTAGACGTGTTACGAAATGGTATATAGTCGACGCTGAGGTTGACAAATTAGACTTTAAATGCGGGTATCGTATTAAAACAAAAAAGTGAATTACCTGACTGTGTATCAATTGAATCTTGTGTTTAAAACGCATAGTACTGATGTTTACGTATATTTGTTCCTTATAACAGACGTCCCTTTGAAAACTTTATTATATTCAATTTCATTATATGAATATTCCTTATGGAACAAAGTTGATATTCCATAATAATTATTTCGTGGGGAATGAATAACATTGACGGTTACAATTTTCTGCACCAGATGACGTTCATTTCGACAATAAATGTCTCTTCAGTGATGCTCGATAAATAAAAATGATAAATACCAAACTATTTCTTCCTTTTGACTACTGACAGGAGGCCAGGGTATTGCAGAAAAGATATAAAACCAGAAGAAAGCCGAGAAAAAGGAGTAATGGATGAGAGAAACAAATCCCCCGCCAGCCCTTAAAAATTAAAGCAATATGTACTTGCCAATCTTTTTTTTAAGAGTTCGATATCAATTGCGACAGACCATTTGACTTAAAGGGGTGTTTACCCGAGGTCAGAACTTTTGGATGGGTTGCACACAATGCAGAATCGACTTATTATATAATATGATGCAATTCAGCTGGCAGGCGGGTGGAAGAAGAGGGGTACCCGTTTTGAGTAATAAACTCCTAACCTAAGCGCTTTTAAACTTTGCACAATGTATGTATATACATTGAACATTGTGTAACTCTTCTTATGGATTCATTTTGCATATAGTTTGCTGTTTTTTTCAGAGGTTGAAACTTTGTGAATTTTTGGAATTTGCACACATGACCAACATAACGCATCTAGGGCCTCGCTGGACCTTATAAGACCCTGGAAATGATTTTATACATAATAATCTGTTAATACATACTCAGGAATAGTATCATTTTCATGTAAAATGTAACTAGTTCGACCCAACGAAATACGGATCTTTGAAAAAAAGACATCCTATACATATTCATGCAAAGTTTCAAAACATTTCGCATTCCAATTTCTGAGGTATGAAATTGTCTTACTCGTTTGACCAGCCTTTCAAACAGTCAGAAAAGTACTCCCTGTCATATACCCTGTAATGCATGTATGTGAAATGTGACTCCTTTTTCTCCGGTTTGATATCCTAAATACATGTTCCTGCATATTTCTCTTTTCAGTTTCTGTTCATGCTGCGAGTGCACAAATAGATGCTTAGATACCGATTATTTGTGAAGTCTATGCTCTAAATACCTTTTATTCGACAATAGAAAATTGGCGACAACTACGTGGAGGGTGGCATAAAATGCCCACAGCATTAGCGGCAATTGACAGCAATTTTCGTGCCATTTACAGACCACACACGGAGCCTCGGGCACAATTTTATTCCACATACCGGTATTCCATACCTAGTACGCACGTTTTTGTATACAATAGGAATCATATAAAGTTCACCCGCAGTAGTTTTCCTAGGACAACAGGATGATGCTCAACATCTTAATTTACTGCATTTAATTAGCCAGGTATGGAATTAGATTTCCCCCAGGATTTTGTCATTTTGGATAAAAAAAATTATATCGCATGTCGTTCTCTGCTCGTTACCCTCATAAACTTATACATGTAGACCAAGAGTAGAAAGAATATAATGTAAAAAATTAACTTGTGATTATCGTTCGGGTGTCGGGTATATGCGGAACACGCTATTAGGCGCTTAAAAACTTTTAAAATTAATGGAAGCGTGTAAAGAGACATCCGAAAACCAGATTATAGAGCTTTGTGCGGGTTTAGTAGATTGCTTGATTTTTTTGTGTTTTCCGCCAGTGACAAATATTTCATGCATTTTCAAGTTTTCATGACGAGGTTCAGTAGTGGAGTGACAAATTGATATGTTCGAAGAACAGTAATTAATATAAAAAAATCAAAGTGGCTTATTATGTTATTTTTTTAAAATCTAGAAGTGCATAATTGAAAAACCAACCCCCTCCCCGCGCACACACGTACACCTTTCCCGTCCTATAATCATAAGCAATGATATTAGAAAATGATTATTCTAAATTAATTTAATTTTAAATGAATCAAGAAGTGTGTAGGATACCTGGTTAACATCACGCAAATAAAATTTTACCGGTTTAAATCGATTATAATCAATGTTTTGACACAGTCCCCACATTTAAAGTCTAATTTGTCAACCTCAGCGTCGAGTATATGCCTTCTCGTAACACGTCTAATAAGTACAATTTTAAAAAAGAAGTAGAGTGGACGCCCCAAAAAATCCTAGAATAGTTCAAGACTGCCAGTTATATAACTTTTTTTGTGTTACAAATATCATAATCTGTTATTACACTATTCATATTTACCTTTTTAAGAAATACACTATCAAAATAGTGAAAAACAGCAACGCTGCTCCTGAATACGCAACTGTAGCCACTTCTGCAAACAAGTGAAAAAAAAGTTATATTTAGTTTTATCTAGTAGATTTTTGTCTTTTTACGATTTTGGCGTTTATCAAAATTTCCCAGGATCTGGCTATTCATAGAGGCTGACATATGGTTATAAGTCACAATTACATACTTAATAATGAACTTATTGAACATAGTGTTGGCTCTAGATGTTGTTTCTGTTTTGATTTCCATTGATGTATAGCACCGATATCCTTTATTCAAAATTATTTGCGGACTACATTTAAAAAGTTTTCCTAAGTGATTGGGTTTTGTTCCCTATTTTTTCCTTATCTTTTTTTAATATTTAGTATATCAAATCGATTAAGATTATAGACATTATTGGAATAGTTTAGAAATCATCGATTTGAAGCTTTGATGCTATTCAATTTCGTATTTGAATTGGCCTACCAACTGTTTTTTCAAGTGCCACTGAGGAGTCTTATGTGGTCGAAACGCCCGTCTCGATTAACAAAATAAAAGCCTGGTATCTTTGACTGTAATGGGTATTTTGATTAATGACATCTCTACAAATAAACATTAAGGTTTAAAAAAAGGTTAACATTTATACATTTTTCAGTTTATCATGCACGTAAGAGATTTATGAATGTTGATTTATATATGTATAGGTGTATTGATATAAACATATACCGATTTAAGCATACACGACACGTGTTTTTGAACTTTATTAATCAAAAACCCTCGACACCAAAAGCATTGAAATCAAATAAACAAAACACATCACATCACACTCGAATTTGAGGGAAACGTACAGGCCTATATATATAACAATGAACATATACGTACGTATTGATAATGACGTCTTTGCGACCTCGGCCAAAGTTGAATCAAGTGGTGTTTTTAAGGTTGTTGCCACCTCTATGGTCATACCTTTTCCTGATAAACAAAATGAAAACATAAAAAAATTGAACAGAAATATTTAAACCTGCTGATCAGGTAGGGTCAATAGAGGCTGATAGCTGAAGACTTAAAATGGTAGGGCCAATACCAATGAATTTAATTCACATAAGTGCCATTTTCTAAAGGTCGTTTCTGAAGGTAAAAAAAATCGTTACTTATTTGCTATATTATAGTTTCTTTAAGTCCTTTAAGGTTTTAACAAAATGTTGACGTATGTTCGAACATGTCACCAAATTATGTATGAATTCCGACCTATGCTTCAAGTCAGAAATTTTGATAGAATTTGACCAAATTTGTGTACTGATTCAAGATATGACACAATAGTCAAAATTCAGAAGGAAGATATTCTATTTATTGCTTTTCAAATACAAATTAATGTATTTTGATACGTTGCAAAATTTTACAAAAACATGAAAAATTTGCAATATTGTCTTAATCAGCGATATGTAGGACTGAAAATCATGTTGATAATATGGGAATTTATAAAACTTGTGCATATTTGTTAAAAGCATATGAAATAGACTACTTTATATTAAAAATCTAGAAGGTTTTTAACAACTTTCTGTTTTCGAGCCTGTGAGTGAATATGGAAATATATAAAGCTGGTGCATATTTTTGAAAAGTATATGAAATAGACTCTTTAATATAGCAATCCCAGAAGGGTTTAACATTTCTTAATTCGATCCGGTGAGTGAAACAAATACGACGGATGTACTCCTTCGTTCATTAATTTTTCAATACTCGATGTAACATATCTATTGGCACCTAAATGTCTTCTGTGTTTTTTATCGTCCCATTGGCTTATATTTCAACTACAACTTTACATAGAAAACTAAAGATTGAGCAACGAGACCCTCCATCCCCCAAAAAAGAGAATGAACGCAAATGCTTTGGAAGGGTGAGCATTTCCTGTTCCACTAGTGGCATCCGTCTTGTGTATGTAAAATCAGATGATAAGCGGAATTCGATTATGTCACAAATCGAGGATAAAAGGACGTGATTGTGATTACATTCGTCAAGTGGAACATATCCGTGGTCATATGTGAAACAGATATTTCGTAACGGTCAACCAAAAAATGATGGAGTCCGTATAACTTTGTAAAGGATGACTTCAACATGTCTTTATATTTATACATGTACATCCCTGGGTTTCAAATGTTTAGGTTTAAGCGTTCATGATGATGATAAATCCAGAAAAACGATGATTCAGATTCATGAAAAATGATAAAAGAGTTATTTTTAGAATAAGAATTAGAAACCCGTAATGGAACAGCTTCCTTGTAAGCAGTTACTCTCATTCACTGAAATCGTGATAAGAAATAATGAGAGGAAATCATGATAGATAGATAGCTATTTATTAACACCATTTTGCTATTTGTACTTCCAGAGATATCTTTGAATTCAGATAATTTTCATTGCGATATAGAAATCAAAGATTTGATCACAATATCAAGATGTCAATATATAAAGAAATAAAGAAGAGAAAATGATGTACAAATACTAAATTTGTAAACATCTTACAAATTGGGTTTTATGGTCCTATACCCTTATTAATCGATTTTTGTTTTATTTCCTGTTGAATAGTAAAATATCGATACCCTGTCATCGAACCGGGTCTACCCTCGTTTTGAGTTTATGCGATTAAATTTGTTTACATTCCAACTTTTGTCTTTTTAGCTATAATAAAAGATAGTAATTAAAAATCAGAAAATTGCCTTTAAATGAACTCTTAAAATACAATGAGATTCAATTACCTTCTTTAGAAATATCTGTGGTTAATCTAGATACTGTTACATTTTCCTTGTAATCGGTTGCTACAGTCGGTTTGGAACTGTTTCTGTTTTTGGCGTAAAATTGTGTGTAATATGTCATTGCCCGTGATATTGCGTTAATATTCGCTTTTTTTGTCATTTCTGTTGAATGCATATTTGTTTCTGTTTTTCTGGAATTGTCATTTATGCTTGTTTCCATGGTATATTGTTTGGTTTCTAATACAGTTATCGTCGCTTCTGCTGTAGATGTATTTGAATCGGATGTAAAATAATTTGGTTCTGTTATTGATGTTGTTGCTACTATTGTAAACCTATTTCCGACTAACGAGGATTTGTCTGCTTTTGTTTTATACAGATGTCCCTTTTTTGTTGACATTGTGGTTTCCGTTGATGATACAGATTTTGATGTTGCAGGCATGTTGCTTTTAGTTGTATATGTAATAACATCTGTTAAAACAGGATTACTCGTAAGCTCATTTTTTTGGTTTGTAAATCTGTTTGGTAACGCTTTAGATTTGGACGTTATTGTTGCATATCTGTTGCTAATTTCTGTTTTAGACACTAATTTGTCTTTTGTAGTCGTATTTGTCTCTGATGTTAACACAAATGTTTCTGTTGTTAGCATATTTAGTCCTTTCGTAGACGCAACCGGTTTCGTTGTTAATGTTTTTTGCATATGTTTTTCTGATGTTGATTTGTCTGTTGTAGATATATTTGTTTCCGCAACAGGTATAACTTCATCTGTTGAAGACATGTTTTCGTCAATGAAAGACATGTCTGTAGTATAATTATTCGGTTCCTTTGCAGACATATATGGTTTTGTTGTAGACAAAATTGATTCTGTTGTATGCACCTTTGATTTTATAACTGAAACATTTGCATCCGTCAAAAAAATGTTTGAATATGTTTCAAACATATTTGTTTCTGTTTTTGACACGTTTGTTTCCGTTGTTAGCCTTTTGTGTGCTGTTGTAGACGAGCTTGTATCTGACGAAGACATTTTTGTAGCTATAGTAGATATTTCAATCTCAGAAATATATGTGTCTGATGGGGGAATGTTTGCTTCTGTGGTAGACATATTTGGGTCAGTTTCAAGTCTATTTTGTTTTGTTGAACGGTTAAATGATATAGACCTATTTGTTGCTATGTTCTGTTTTGTTGTTAATTTGTTTGGCTGTTCTGTCCCCGTGGATTTTTCTTTTTCAGGTAGAGTTTGGTCTGTGGCAGGCTTGCTTGTTTTTTTTGTAGACATGTCTGGCTCTGCGTTTGTTGTAGACATGTCTGGTTCTTTTTTTGTTGTAGACATAACTGGCTCTGTTTTTGTTGTAGAAATATCTGGTTCTGTTTTTTTTGTAGACATGTCTAGCTCTGTGTTTGTTGTAGACATGTCTGGCTCTGTTTTTGTTGTAGATATGTCTGACTCTGTGTTTGTTGTTGACCTGTCTGGCTCTGTTTTTGTTGTAGACATGTCTAGCTCTGTGTTTGTTGCAGACATATCTGGCTCTGTGTTTGTTGTTGGCATGTCTGGCTCTGTGTTTGTTGTAGACATATGTGGCTTTGTTTTTGTTGTTGATATGTCTGGCTCTGTGTTTGTTGTTGACATGTCTGGCTCTGTTGCATATATAATTTGTTCTGTGGAATGCGTGTCCAGTTCTATCGAAGACATGTTTGGTTCTGTTAAAGAAGTTGCTGTTTCTATAGATACTTTAGACAAACTACGTTCTGCTATAGGACTGACTGTTTTTTTATTTGACACATGTTTTTCTGTTGTAAATCTACGTAGTTCCTCGCTAGTCATAATCGTTTCTGTTTTTGACACGTTTGTTTTTACTGTGAATACATTGAATGTAGATAAATCTGTTCGTGCTTTATACATCGTTGTATGTAGATCCTCCGTAAACATCTGTTTGGTAAAAGACATGTCTGGTTCTGTTTTTGTTGTAGACATGTCTGGCTCAGTTTTTTTTGTATACATATCTGGCTCTGTTTTTCGTGTAGACATGTCTAGCTCTGTATTTGTTGTAGACATGTCTGGCTCTGTGTTTGTTGTTAATATTTCTGGCTCTGTTTTTGTCATAGACATATCAAGCACTGTGTTTGTTGTAGACATATCTGGCTCTGTGTTTGTTGTTGGCATGTCCGGCTCTGTGTTTGTTGTAGACATATCAAGCTTTGTTTTTGTTGTAGACATGTCTAGCTCTGTATTTGTTGTAGACATGTCTGGTTCTGTTTTTGTTGTAAACATGTCTGGCTCTGTGTTTGTTGTTAATATTTCTGGCTCTGTTTTTTTTGTAGACATGTCTAGCTCTGTGTTTGTTGTAGACATATCTGGCTCTGTGTTTGTTGTTGGCATGTCCGGCTCTGTGTTTGTTGTAGACATATCTGTCTTTGTTTTTCTTGTTGACATGTCTGGCTCTGTTTTTGTTTTAGACATGTCTGTCTCTGTTGCATATATAATTTGTTCTGTCGAATGCATGTCCAGTTCTATCGAAGGCATGTTTGGTTCTGTTAAAGAAGTTGTTGTTTCTATAGATACTTTAGACAAACTTCGTTCTGCTATAGGACTGACTGTTTTTTTATTTGACACATGTTTTTCTGTTGTAAATCTACTTAGTTCCTCGCTAGGCATAATCGTTTCTGTTTTTGACACGTTTGTTTTTACTGTGAATACATTGATTGTTCCTGCTTTATACATTGTTGTATGTAGATCCTCTGTAGACATCTGTTTGGTCAAAGACATATTCGTTTCTATATGAGTACTAGGTCCTGGTGATTCAATGTTTGGGTTTGCTGTAGACATGATTGTGTTTAATGCAGACGTAGCTAAAGTAAACATCTTTGTCTGTTTTGTACGAATATTAGTTTCTGTTGCAAAAGTATTTGGTTCCATCGTAAACACTTTTGTTTGTCCTTCCAACTTATTCAGTTTTGTTATAGGTTTTTTAATTTCCGCTGTAGACATGTCAATTTCTATTGAAGAAATATTCGATTTTGTTATAGACTTGTTTGAATTTGAAGCAGACGTCGTTTGTTCTGCTTTAAACAAACCACTTTTAGCTGTAAACATTATTTTCCAAGTTGCATTTGACATTGCTCCCGTTTCATACATTTTTGGCTCTGTAATATTCATTTGCTTCGTTTGTTCTCTTGTAGACACAATTGGCTCTACCGAAAAGATTGGTTTCTCTGAAGTTGTAGAAGTTGTTTCTGATTTCGAAATATTTCCTTCTGCTGTAGACATTATTTTTTCACCTGCCGAAGTGTTGAGTGTTGTTTTAAATAAGCTTGATTGTTTTAAAAAAGTAGCTGTAACGGTTTTTGAATTAATTGTTTCTCCAGTGGACATAGTTTTTGAGAATGAAATCGTTTTTGTTAATGGCATAACTGTATTCAGATCTATTGTAGACATTCTTTTCTCGACTGAGGACATGTTGGTTTTTGTAGTTTTAATAATTTGTTCAGATGAAGGTATTTTAGTGATCATTGTAGACACGATTGTTTCTGCTGAAGGTGTGAATAATTTTATTGAATACCGATTTGCTTTTCCCGTAGAAATATTTGTTCCGGTTGTAGATATATTTGTTTTAGATACATAACTGGTTGTTTCTTTTGTAAAACCAACATTTTCTGATGATGTCATAGCTGTTTCTGTAGTAGACAACAATGTGTTATCTGTTGAAGTGATCGATGTTGCAGTAGGAACAGGAATAGATCTTTCTACCGTTGGCATATTTTGATTTAAATTATACATAGTAGTTTCTGTTGTAGAAAAAGTTCTATCTTTTGTAGAGATATTTAATTCTGTTGAAGATATATTTGATTTTGCTACAAAGTTAACAGAACTCATTTCTGATGTAGACATGATTATTTGACTTGTGTCCGTGAACATATTTTGCTGCGTTGTAAACATATTTGTATTTGATTTTGATGTGTCATTAAGTCCTCTTTCCGTTGTTTCTGTCTCAGACAAATTATGTTCTGATCTGGTTATACTGGATTCTGTAATAGAGCTATTTCTTTTTCCTATATCTTCACTTGTTTCGCGTGCGGTTATATTTGAATCCGTCGGTGTAATTGTTATTCTTGAAGTTGTAGACACGTTTGCGTCGTTTGTATAAGTAGGAGTATTAGCAGTATGACTTTCTTTTGTAGGAATAAATGTTTTTGTTGAACCAGTGGGTTTATCCGAGTTTGACGTATCAATATGTGTGTTAGGCTTATCTACTTCTGTTGCAAAAATAACTATATCGGTTGTTCCTAATATTTGTTCCGTTGATGGTAAATTTGGGTTTATTGTAGTCATATTTTCATTCGAAACCGATGTTCCAGGGTATGTTACTTTGTATCTACTGCTATTTTGATCCAATTTAGTTGAAAAATTAGAATTAAAAGACCCAAATTTCGAGGTGCTTTCGTTTGCCATTACAATTGTTGACACTTCTAATTCATCAGTTAACTTCAAACGAGTTTGTATAGTAGTCTGTATCGTCGACAACGTGCTTCGGTCATCTGTAAATGAAACAAGTATTCAAAATTCTTAAATGTTAGAAATTTCGATACGAATGCCAGATGTATTCGTACAATGTAGCTTGATTGTTAATCAATATTGAAGTTCGTTATTAATAGTACTTTTTTTAAGCAACCTTCCAATCAGTTATGGGGTAGTTTTGAAATAAATTGTTTTTTCATTATGTTTGCGCATGTGTTGTTTTGTTTGAACATAATGCATTGTACCTTGTTGTATGGAGAGGGTTTTTCATAGGCTTGGCCTGTTGCTCAATCCATTTTTTTTTTTAATAAAATACTGTTTAAACTAAACAATGTAGCTTAAATTAAATGAAAAAAAGACAATATGTCAAATAGTAGTATAATAAGGCTAATAAAAGTTTGACTTTCATCTAAATTATTATTGATAGAAAAAAACTAAGACGTAAATAACCAAAAACAAATATATTGTCGCTCTATTCTTTTCAAATGAGAAGTGTAATTGAGTTCTCTAACATACAGGAATTGTGCTTCCAAATACATATTTTTGATTGGATGTTTCACTCTTTTCATATACAACCTGGAGTTCTAACAGAACAGAACTATACAGATATATTCCATAATGAGTAATTCACAAATTTGGCGGTTAATATGGCTAACAGTGCAACAAATGGTTTCTGACAAAATTGCAGATATCTTCTTGTCAGAAACAAATACAACGTTTTGGAGATAAACTACTCTAAAAGAGTACTCTACCAAACTGATTTTGATTTTACTGTGAATAAAACTTGTCCCTACAAGGGACTTTGAAGGAAGGGTCGAAATCTAACTCGACGATATTGGATAGATTCCTGTCTATCTTTGAACAATATGCTGACATCTAAGTTTCATTGGGTTGCATCTCCTTTTACTTGTCAAGAGGAAAACATGTAAAATTTTTGTTGTCTGTTACGTAGGAATATATGACATAACACGTTACGGGGATTGTACGTTCACAGTTTCTTAAGTTAAAACATTTTTTTCGTTAGGAACGACCAAAGTTGAACATTTGAAAGCCAAGGATGTAAAAGAATCGATACAGATGATGAGCTTTATGACCAAAAATGACCTAAAATAATAGCCAAATCAATCTAAGGCTAACTTTGCCTGAGGGAATTGTAACCAGAATTTCGTAATAATTTCAAAACTTTTAAACGGAAAATTTATAAGAAAGGTTTGCTTTAAACCATTTAAACAAGTAGTCAGCACTTCCGTGTTGATATGAATGACCATTGATATTGTCATAATTATAAATTAACTGTTTACAAAACTTAGAATTTTCGAAATACTAAGGATTTTCTACCCCAGAAATAGATTACGTTAGCTGTATTTGGCAAAACCTTTCGGGATTTTTTGGTCCTCATTGCTCTTCAACTTCGTACTTAAATTAGCCTTTTTAACATTTCTATTTCGAGCGTCACTGATGGGTCTTTTGTAGACGAAACTCGCATCTGGCGTACAAAATTTTGATCCTGGGGCCGTGTCAACGAAGCTGTTTTAGGACTAGAGCGTCTCTTTGGATTGTCTTAAGACACGTCCTAGTCCTAAGTCAGCTTAACAAAAGTCTCCTAAGATAATATATGTCCTAAATTTGGTCCTAAAGCTAGGATATATACATAGGTGTGATAGGATGGCCTGAGATAGTCCTAAAAGTTACGATGTTCTAAGTCGAACTAAGAACAACAAATACGGCCTTTAGTCAGCATTTGAAGAATTTTTCTTTGTGTAGATACTATCCCATGTCTTCTCCTTAATATAATTTGCTGCCACATTTGATAGCTTGCTGAACAAGATTCCCCTATGCTTATTTACTTCGGCAAGCAGAATTTGATTGTAATGATAATTTTCTTTATTTCAACAGGATAACATATTAAGTCAAAAGACAAGTTTACAGTAAGTTCCTGAATTATATATATATACATATGTTACAACATAAAGTATAAAATTCAATAATAAGAATATTAATATAAATATTAAACTATTATACTGTTATTAGAATTTAACAAAATATTCTTCAATGAGGTTTTTTTTAAAGATTCAATTGTATTACATTGTTTTAAATCTGTAGACAAATTTGTTACATTAAATAATTCCAGATACCAACAAGGAGCGTTTATAGTATTCAATTTTAGTTTTTTTGGATCAAAAAACATATTAAAAGCACTTTTACTGGCTGTTCTAAAACTTACCTGATGCACATATCTAAATACATTGAAATATTCCGGAAACATTTGGTGAAGTACTTTGAGATCTAAAATTGCTTTTTATATACAAAATAATCTGAACGATGTCATATCATTACGTTCGTTTAAAATAATTCGTGCTGCCCTTAGCTTAGAAATTCTATCAATATTAGCAACATGTTTTGCACCTGACCAATTGGTACAACAATAATTGAAATGTGGAAA